TGCCACTAGAGGGCAAAATGGAGCCTTTTCGGTTAAAAAAGAATGAGTTTTGGCAGGGACATCTCTGGAAGTTGCCTACCCCTGCTTTATAGTGAACAGCACACACTCACGCCTCCTCCCTGCTGTCTCCCAAAACAAGAAAAAAGTTGCACAAATTCAGAGTTGCAAAGGCTCAGATATGAAGCAGGTAAGGTGAAGCTGTGAATTGGGAGAAGCCCTTATCCTTGGAAATATCACCCCGCTCTGGAACCACTGAGAATGCTCATTCCCTATTGCAGTGGTTGGCAATTTGATGCCCGCCACATGTTTTGGATAATAATTCCCATTATACTCTGACCAAGTTTACAGAAGTTCTAAACCAAAACATTAGAATGATACCTGAGCACCAAGTTGCCTGCCCCTCCAGAAGGAAGCGCCTCCCTCCTAATACTGTACAGAAAAAGCTCTCCTCTCCACACAAACATGCCCTTGTGCACTGAATTAATGGATTTAAAGTAATCCACACTCCATGATGTTCCAATGTGTTAATTTCCTTCTATGTTCATTGAGCTGTGCTCTCCTTTGACCTCCTCAAACCCCCTTGGCTTGGGAAGGCTCTGAGCCACCATGTATGCCCAGGTCTGGGTTTTCTTCTTCCCTCTCAGGGGTCCCAAAACAGTTTGTCTTCTCTGTGTGTGTGTGTTTTCGTTCCCTTGGGCAGGAGATTGCCAAAACCAGCTTTGCTTTTCCAGTCAAGCATCTCCCTGAAGAGAAGGCAGGGCTGGTGATGTCAAGGTCCGTTTAACTTTTTGCAAGAGTGTCTGCATTCTCCGAAGCAGAAGCTGAGACAAGAGACTCCCTGAGCAGTTATAGCTGCTCCTGGAAACGCAACGGGGATGGAATCTTTTGTCAAGTAACAGCAAACCTTTTGGTAAACAACAGAGCTACTTCCATGGAATAATTAAGCCAGCCCTCTTGCTCATAGCTAGAGATGTGACTGACACAAGCAAGCCTTTCTGTTATTAAAAACACAACACTCAACATGCTGTTTAAACGAGGAGACGCTTTGCGGAACAACAGCAGCATGAGAGGAAATGATGGGATAGAAAAATACCTAATGAGTTGAAGAAAAAGCTATGTTGCCATCTTCAGTAGGGCTTGGAAGGCTTAAGGCCATCCGAAGGATCACAATTACAGGTAATAGTAGAGTTTTACTCTCTCAAAATGAAGATGTGAGGTAAACTGCAGTAGTTAGAATGAAGACCGGAATTCAAATTCCCCACAGGGGTCTCATGAAGATAAAGCAGTGACGAAGAGAGCCATGTAAACTTCCCCTTCTACCTTACTGGTAGAAAGAGGATATAATAAATAATAAATAAATGGCAATAGTTTGCCTCGCCAAAGGGTAATCAAAGTTACACTGCCCCTTGTGTGGGATTTCTGTTCTTAGACTGTAAGCTATTTTGGGAAGAATACAGTACGTTCTTGTAAATGTGAATAGGAAACCTAATTAAATGGAAAGAAGTAAATGTAGTGATCCGTAGTAGCAGCCCTTGATAGGGCAAGTCAAGCTAAAAGACAGACTCCCACAATGTGTGAAGGCTAGAATTCCCATCATCCCCAGCCAGCAAGCGCAATGACTCGGAATAAATCTTACAGTTCAAGATAATTCAGAGACCAAGATAGGCAAAAACTGAATATTTCTTTCTTAACATTCAAACAAGACAAAGGCTACTTTAGGAGAAGCCAGTGAGACCGTGGGCAAGTCAAGCTAAAAGACAGACTCCCACAATGTGTGAAGGCTAGAATTCCCATCATCCCCAGCCAGCAAGCGCAATGACTCGGAATAAATCTTACAGTTCAAGATAATTCAGAGACCAAGATAGGCAAAAACTGAATATTTCTTTCTTAACATTCAAACAAGACAAAGGCTACTTTAGGAGAAGCCAGTGAGACCGTTTGGGAACATATTTTATTTTATTATTGCTGCCTGGCTTCAAGAGATACCTTGCCTGCAGACTCCCTGTCTGCCTGTCACGCATTGTCAAGGCTGCACCAAAGCTGTTGTTGTTTTACTTCAGAAGGACCTGAAAACTTCCAACGTGAGTCAAACTCACGTTCGTATGTACCACCATAAATTTCTCTCAGCTAAGACTGGCTGAACACAACACTGTGCAAATACTTAGAATGTGTTTCAGAAAAGCTAAACAGGCAGATGTTGTGGCCGTTTGTGAGTGGAATTTTATCTGAGCACGACGTGCACTGTTTGAAGGGGGGAAGGGGTACCATAAATGGTGCTGATTAAGAGAATTTGAAGAGTTTTGAAGTTTGAAATTGGTCTTAATATTCCTTTTTAGAGAAAATAGACAACAAACACAGCAGCTCAACAAAGGGGAGACCTCATGCGACAGCAGCAAAAAGGAACTAGGGAAATTCTGAGAACCTGAGGTAACTGTGAGGGCGGGCAGACCTTGTGGGCTAAAGGGGGTGGTGTTTGACGAACGTAGCATGAAGCTTTAGAACATTCCGGAGACCTCTGTGCAGGTGCAGATTAAAGCCATTAGTGCATTCACAGAGGCCACAAAGAAGAAGTTGTTGTTGTTTTACTTCAGAAGAACCTAAAAACTTCCAACCTGAGTCAAACTCACGTATGTACCACCATATATTTCTCTCAGCTAAGACTGGCTGAACACAACACTATGCAAAGACTTAGAATGTGTTTTAGAAAAGCTTTTTGGCTGCAATGGATTAATTAGGTACTGAGATTAAGTATACAAAACACTTAATATTATTCTAACATAGGGGATATTAAGTATTACCAAACTCCACATGACTGGTGTGAGGGGAAGGAGGAACTTGGGCAGAGAACATTGTGGCTTGAATATGGCCCGCACAATACATTCATGGCTGGGTTTAGGATTGACATGATAAGTTTTCAGACTCTTAAGGTACATCCCTTATACCGTTCCACTCTCTCCCTTACAGTTATTTTCACTGGTTGTCAGTTCCATATTACCTTCGAAACTAGTTGCTCTTTCCTACATTTAAATCATTACATAATGTTGCTTTTCTTCCCTCCTTGTTATTCTCTCTTCGTCTCACTAACCTTCCAATATCATTCTGCTGTTGAATATGTTCCTCAGCTTGCTCGTTTGTATCTTTTCAGTCTCACTCCCCTTCACAACTGGAACTCTCTATTTTGTCACTTAGTATCATTATGGCATGCCTCCCTTTTTTCAATCCTTTCAACATTAATATCTACATCTAGAAATCAACAGGAATTGTCATTTACATTTATGGCATATTAAAGGCATACAGTTATCTTTATTTTGCTTTCATGCTGACTGCAGGGGAACAGAACTTTTCCCCTTAGCTTTGTTCCTCCTCAAGAAGCCTGCTTGGTAAATAAGTAATTTTTAAAGATAAGAACAAAAATAGCTTGCTAAAAGTCTATGCCAGCATGACAAGAAAGGTGACTAGCACCTTAGCAGATGAGGTTTATAAAAAAGTCCTTTACATCCCTATCTGACTGTGCAATTGCACTGTTCTGTTCCAAGGCTGTAGAAGAGAATGATTGTCTGCTTCATAAAATGTGTTTGAAATTAAAAACAGGAGTTTAAAACACATGTTGAAATGTATGACCCTTCTGTTCTACTCTTGTGGAATTACAACATAGTCCATCAACAGGAGATAGACAAGGCATCTTGAAGAACTGTACTGGATACTACAGAACCTAAACATCAAGGAAACACATTCAAGCAGTTCTTCCTTTAGTCCTCACTTCCTCATGAGGGAGAGGGAGCAGTCCCATTTACAGGGAGATAATCTATTATCAAGCCCATAGTAGACTGTTCATGCACATTGCTCAGATTCCAGAATGTCATCCTAGAAAGGGATCTCGAGCACAGGCCTTTGGCCTTGTTCTTTCTACTCTCTGAGGAGCTGCTCCCATCCTAAGGCGGTCACTGACTGGTGTTCCAATATGCTCCACAGATCCCTCAAGGGTCAGAGAATTACCCTCCCACCCCCACCTAGGACATAGTACCTAAGAAGGGAACTGTCCCCACATCTGTCCAATGAGGGCTGAGCTTGCCCAGTAGAATATAACTGCTGGTTGAACAAAAAAGGAATGGGGAGGAATGAGTTGGTCTATTTTGATAAAATGGATGGTGTCATGAAATGAAGGCTTCTTATTACAACATTTTGTTATGGGGAGAATCTTCTAGGAATCCATCAAATATGTCCATCAAACATCACCTGCTTCTTTTTAGCTGTGTAAGAATCTGACAGCATGGCCTGAATCCAACTGGTACTCCCAGCTAAAGTGTGATTTGCTTAACCATTGATTCAACATTCAGCAGTTCATTCAATGAGTCAACTCTAGTCAGGAAGTATTAACTGGATTTAGGCCAAATGGTCTCTTATCTGTGTAACTCATGCTGTGATTGTGGGATAGGTTTCCCTCATGCCCTACTTTGTGTGGGTTTTTTGTTTGTTTGCTTGTTTTTACTATTTTAAGAAAGGCGAGGACACAGATTCTTGTCTGCTGCCTCTTGGTTCAACTACTTAAGGCAAAGCTGAAGAGGTGGAGTCAGAAGAAGTCAGTTCTGCCCATGCTAACTCCAAGGTATCCATCACTCGAAACCAGCTCATACTGAAATAGTAAACCAAAGTACTTCAACAACAGCTGTTATGATTCGTGAACTGCAAAAAAGAGATCAGGATCAATACAGCACACATGAAACCAAATCTCATTAAACTCTACAATTATATCTTATATCTTCTTTCTAATAATTTTAACCCATTCATGTTCTCATCTCATCCAGTTATACAAAGATTCTGTGAGACCGGGGGCAAGAGAAGGGAGTCCCTCGCCGGAGTGCTGTCCCTTCCACAGAGAATGGAAAGTACAGACCTCACCCACTGAGTAGAACCAGACCTTCTACAAACCAGCAGATCAGGTACAAACACTCATTAAGAATTATTTTAGCAACTCAGGACAAGAAAACTTTGACACAGTGTTCATGAACAATAGAACTTCTTTTTTTTAAAAAAAAAGCAAAAAGGTTGAGAGGGTGTGAAGGAATCACAGGAGTCAAAAGGGAACAAAACTAAATCAAGGAAAGGACGTACCAGAGGAACAAAATTTCCACCATATCTAAACAAGTAACCACTGTTTTTGAAACAGTCATTTCCAAGCCAAGAATATCACCAACAGTTCCTGAAGGCTGTTAAATGGCCGCCTTCAACCATCCACACAGCACATCTTCCTTGACCTCTCTTGACTTCTAAGAAGGCGCTGTTCTCTGAGGCAATTCCACTATTTTGTTTGTTCATTTTTTTCTGCAGTATGTTCTCCAAGAGGGATTCAGCTATTTTGTCTGTTTGTTTTTGTTCTGCAGTTCATGTCGAAGTGCTACCAAGAGGAAAAACAACAACCGCCTCATCACAGCTGGATGGCAACTGCAAGGAGGTCTAGTTGACCGGCAGGGCTCTCCCTCTCTCAGAAGTCTCTGGATATACAATCCCACAGATGCTCCCGTCAGGGGGCTCCATTTCATCAAGGCAGTCTCGTTTCAACCCCATTCCCCTGCATCATTTCTGAAGCAAAACAGAGTGTCCTCTTCGCTCCAAGCATGCCTGACTTCCTGTTCTGTGCCCTCAGATGCACAAGCCATTTGTTACAGCATCTTTCTTTCTTTGCCTTAAATTCCATTCGTCATCGTTGGGATCTGTTGTCTTGGGCCGGCACCTGGCCAACCCCCTTAAGTTCTTGACTCAGCCAAGCCAAAGGGAACATACAGACAATGCAGCAACAGGGATATATTAGGTCGAACAGTCCCCTTTACCCAAAGTCCACCCCTCCCCCATTTGCCCCCAAGTTTACTTGGTGCTGTATGTTGGTTCATCTTAGTTTTAAAAGTCTGCATGTCCCAAAGCAGTCTTTTTTCCCACCCACCCCCGCCCAGCCCCACAACAGAGTAAAAAGCTCCACAGGTTGGCATCATCTACCTGGTGGTCAAGGTTGGAGAAGCAGCTGCTTTCGTCGCTACTTCCATTTTAAAAATGACACACACACAAACACACGCAGGGTTGTGCGACGGGGGTCCCAATCTTAGGATTGCTTCAGCCGCTTGCGTGGGGGTCCCAGAAAGGGGCACTGTGCGGAGGCCAGTGAACGATACGCTTCAGCCACCAGATGAGGGTGGGACACCACCATGGACTTCCAACCAGAAGTCGCCATGACGTCAGAAGCATGGCTAAAAACACATAATCAAAAATCCAAAATTAACAGTTTGAAAAGGATAGATGAACAGTGAAACAGCAAACTATTACCACAAGAGTTCACAAACGTAATTTCTATTTTGGAGACTCTGTATCAACATCCACATCTTGTTTTATTGTCCTCCTACAAATTAACAGCCTTTTTGTAGGTATACTTAAAATGTACTACACAATATTAATGCCACCTTGGCCTTATAATAAGGGTGGGCAAAGGGCAGCGCTCCAGATAAAGCAGAACTGCAACTATCAGCATTTCTCCCCACTGGTCATGCTGGAAAGGGCTGACAGAAGCTGCAGTCCTACAACACATAGATAGCCATTTTGGCTCTCATCTTCTTGTCTGCATCCACAACAGATCCCTGTGTTCTGCATTTAGCTCACCATTCAGACACAGAGGGCAGTGGGGCATCATCTTGTCTTTTGATCATGCTTTCTGAACACATGCCACTCTAAAAGAAACCTCTGAATAATTTACAACAGGGGATGTCCTACAAAGGTTTCTTTTAAAATTGTTGCTTTTGTGAGACGGCCTGACATACTTCAATTCTTTGCCAAACCCTCAACCTAGCACAAATAATTTTTTGTTGATCTCAGAGAGATTTTCCACATTTATAAGACTGTTTTTTGTGTATGTGCATCTGTGAAAGGTAATCACCAGAAAATGGGGCACTGGCTTCTCGGGTGAACTAGTGGATCTAGTAGCTAGATGAGTTCTGACCAATTCTGAATGAGGAGCCTTGTGGTGCAGTGGTTGCACTGCAGTACTGCAGCCCAAACACTGGTCACAACCCAAGTTCAATCCCAGGTAAATGACTCAAGGTTCACTCAGCTTTCCAAGGTCAGTAAACTGAGTGCCCAGCTTGCTGGGGGGGGGCATTGTGCAGCCTGCATAATTAAATTGTAAATTGCCCAGAGAGTGCATTAAGGAGCATGCTAATAATCCTTTATTTTGTCCGGTGAGAGTGTGCATAAAGAAGAGGCACTAGTTTCATACCCCCCCTTTTTGTACAGAATCCTCAAAAGGTTATCTCACTGCATGAAGATGGCCAGATTTGAGACACTGACAAGATCTGTTTTATAAGTCTAGACTAGAAATGTAATACTGCTATCCTGAGGAGAAATAACAGGTACTTTTCCAAAGGGCATTTTCTCCAAACACCATTTGTAAAGGAATAATAACCACAGCTTGTTTTTTCCACATAAAAGCAAAACAAAGCAGCAGATGCAATTCACTGTCCATTGAGGTAAAGGAGGGTGCTAATAAGGAAGGAAACAATAGATTTTTGAAATGAAGGTGCAGGTCCCCCAAAACAGAGAAGGTGGGATTTTGTTTGTAGACTAGGTAGAGCTGGGGGGAAAAGTTCTTGGATACAAATTAGTGTGCATGAACAGCTCTCAGTCCCTCCAACTTGCCAGATTTTTCCTATTCTGAGGTAATCAGAAGGAAAATGTACTTACTAGTTTATGAAGTCAACTGCTTGTGTTTTAAGTTGGTCAGCACTGTGTAGATCAGCCAAGATCAGAATCTCTGCTGCATTTTCTACCGACAGGTTGCTGCACAGAGCATCCTCGCACATCACCTTTAAGCGTTCAAGAGCATACTGCAAAAATAAATCAATAAATTATTTTTTTTAAAAACACAGATGGCTGAGATGACCCAGGAAAGAAAATTGTTGAACTATTGGAACCGACAAAATTATAGCCCAAAGTGTTTGGATTGATAAATGTGAGTGGGCAGGTGAGTTCTGCCTCTCCCACCCACTTACATTTTGTTTAACCCTACAACATCTTCATACTGCTTGGAACGTATATTCTAAATTCTTCACAAAACACTATAACACTATGTCACACCAAGAAATGGAAAAGGACAGAAAACTGGATCTAGACTTAAGTAATGCATACAGTACTCATGCAGAAATCAGTGAGACTTAATTTGGTTGTGGCTAATTGAAGCCACATAGATGATGAACTCTGGATCCAAACTAATACCACCACCGAACTCTCAAAATGTTTTGAAGCAAAAAATTGAAGACTCAACAGGTAGTGGTAATACACACTCACACACAGAGAGAGAGGCTGTTTTTCAGAGTTCCTCATGGAGGCTCAGAATATAATCTTCAGATGAACAAAACCTACAAGGACTTCCATTGGAGAGATAAACATAGAAATACCACTTCGACTTTCCTCACCTGTTTCCTTTCCTTTGTTTTTGTTGTTGTTTTGTAAAAAAATATTCTACATTACTACCAAGGCTTCACTAAAAGCAGAATTATATGAAGTTATAGTATCTAAACTGCCTAACTTGTTCATCTGGTAGAATTTTGCAAGTCTGGGAATAGAGAACATAGAAGGCCAATAGAGGACCCCCTATATGCAGCTGGACTAAAGTTAACATTCTTGGGCCCTTCCAGTACAGTACCATTGCTCTTCCATCTTCTCCAATAACACTTTCAAAAGACAAAGCCTAACTCTCTAATCGCATCTTCACTTCAGAGCCCAATGGCAGATCTCCAGGGTTCTGGATACGTACTGTGTTTTGTTTATACGGTAATTACGTATTTTCCTCAAGAGATTCGAGGAAATACAGAACAAGCTGTTCCCAAGCCTCTTGGGCAGATATTAATAAGTTTCATGTGCAGCCATAAAAGGTTTTGCTTTCTGTTTTTAAAGAGACACCCATGATGTTTAGATGAAAGATGCATAAGAAGTCACATACACATGCAAACAACTAAGAGCCCCTTCAGTTTTCTTGCCCTACCAACTTAGATGTGTTTACTTTAAAATGTACTTGCCATACACAAGACCCAGACACTTGAGACATGTTTGGTGTGTATGTACAGAGGCCTACTTGATAGCTGCTGGGTAGCAGGATAATAGGAGAAAAGTAGCACAATATGGGAGGTGGAGAGACATATAAATATTCCAACCTGTGTGGTGATAAATTCCTACCAGAGCAAACTGAGATGCTCCATCTGAAATACACTCTGATTTTCAGAACAGTATTGATTTTTACAATAGTATTGATTTTCTTCTCTGCAGAAGCATTTCTAAAACCAAGGGGTTTTTGACTGTTTATTCTCATGAGAATTTGGAACAGCACTATGCTCCAGGGCCTTCACATCTGAAGGATGTCGTTTCCCAACTGTTTTTTTGAGATCTCTCCACAGGTGTTCTATAGGATTCAGAGTTGGACTCGTTGCTGGCCATTTCAGAACTCTCCAGTGCTTTGTTTGTAAC